GCGAGCGAGCGAGCGAGCGAGCGAGCGAGCGAGCGAGCGAGCGAGCGAGCAGAGCGAGCGAGCGGCGAGCGAGCGAGCGAGCGAGCGAGCGAGCGAGCTAGCGAGCGAGCAGCGAGCGAGCGAGTGACGAGCGAGCGAGCGACGAGCGAGCGAGCGAGGCGAGCGAGCGAGCGAGCGAGCGACGCAGCGAGCGAGCGATGCGAGCAGGACGCGCTAGCGAGCGACGAGCGAGCGAGGAGCGAGCGAGGAGCGAGCAGCGAGCTGAGCGCCGCGAGCGAGCGAGCGAGCGAGCGAGCGAGCGAGCGAGCGAGCGAGCGAGGCGAGCGAGCGAGGCGAGCGAGCGAGCGAGCGAGCGAGCGAGCGAGCGAGCGAGCGAGAGAGCGAGGAGAGAGCGATGGAGCGATCGAGCGAGCGAGCGAGCGAGCGAGACGAGCGAGCGAGCGAGCGAGCGAGCGAGCGAGCGAGCGAGCGAGCGAGCGAGCTAGCGAGCGAGCGAGCTAGGAGCGAGCCGAGCGAGCGAGCGAGCGAAGCGAGCGAGCGAGCGGAGCGAGCGAGCGAGCGAGCGAGCGAGCGAGCGAGCAGCGAGCGAGCGAGCGAGCGAGCGAGCGAGCGAGCGAGCGAGCGAGTCGAGCTAGCGAGCGAGCGAGCGAGCGAGCGAGCGAGCGAGCGAGCGAGCGAGCGAGCGAGCGAGCGAGCGAGCGAGCGAGCGAGGGAGCGAGCAGCGAGCGAGCGAGTCGAGCGAGCGAGCGAGCGAGCGAGCGCTAGCTAGCGAGGCGAGGCAGCGTAGCTCAGCGATCGAGTCTGAGCGATCTATGAGCTATCGAGCGATCGAGGCGAGGAGCGAGCTTATCTAGGCTAGCGAGCGATCAGCGAATCGCGCGAGCGAGCGGATCGTAGCGAAGCGAGCGAGCGAGCGAGCGATAGCTATCTATCTATCTATCTATCTATCGATTATCTATCTATCTATCTATCTATCTATCTATCTATCTATCTATCTATCTATCTATCTACTATCTATCTATCTATCTATCTATCTATCTATCTATCTATCTATCTATCTATCTATCTATCTATCTATCTATCTATCTATCTATCTATCTACCTACCTACCTACCTACCTTTTTCACACAAAGAAACATACATGGGTCTTAATCAATAACAAACATACCAGAACCTTTTCAAAATTATCATAAACTTGCTTTAATTTCCGCTTTTGATAAGTAAATCCAACAAGCTTTGGATGAACAAATAATGGATTACACAAGCATACATAATTGTATTTATATAATTATTTAACAGATTTTTTCACCTGGTGGTGAATACACTTTTATTGGAATTTGTTAGGATTTCCAGGATTTTTTTATTTATATAAAAAAATATTAAATGACTTTTTTGGTACACATTTAATTTCTTTCTAGGAAATGTGAATGTGAAAAATTTTTTCTTAATGTGAATATTTCTATATATGTAATTGAAATTTCATGGAACTTTATACATTTTGTTCACCGTTTAAAGTTTTGAAATAAAGTTATATTGATTGCTGTTATGTATTTATTTTGAAAATATAAAATTCCTATTTATACTTTATATATTGATATATTTATATTTTTTCTCGAACAACCTAATTGAAAACTTCGTTTGTTTGTTTGTTGCAAAATAGTATTTCTGATTAATTCTACTAAATAGTAATTTGGTTCACATTCTTTGTATATGGATGCAATCAAAGTTTGAACTGTTTTATATTTTTTTTAATTTTTTCTTTCATTCTTTTATTTTTGTGTGTTTGTGTAACAACACAAGTGCATTTCATTAAATGCTTTGTTTTTCTTTTGATTTGAATTTTCAACTGCTCTCAACGAAAGATGAAGGTAAATAAATGTGAAAATATTGGTACGACTATAAAAAAAATTTGTATATATGTGTGTGTGTATTTTAAACTATAAATAGCAGCACAGTTCCATGAAAAAGGTTTCATATTTTTGTTATAAACTGTATTAACTACAAACAGCTGAAATAATTATGAAATGGTGTTAGGTTACGTTACAGTGGGAAAATTTCGAAAGAAAAATAAAAAAAAGGATTTTTTTATCAGAGTTCAGTGGTCCCCAAAGTTAGACACCTTGTGTGTGAGGAATCCAATTTTTGGTTTCCGACCCCTAAGTACAATTTCGACATAACTAATGACTGTAATAAACTAATAATCATTAATTAAGAAACTAAATTTAATTTTTATTAACACTTCTTTCTCTTTCAGGGTGAATGCTCAGCTGGTACACTGCCTGTTGCATGGGTCGATGAGGGCCCTGGTCCGCCAACGTGTCTCAAATCTTGTAAAGAAGAAACGCCATTTACAAATAAGTTAAATAAGGATAATATGAATAATAATTTAATTAATAATAACAATTCGAATAATAATAATAATAATAATATTAAAAATAACAATAATAATAGTAAACAAAATAAAAATAAAAACGATAATAAATTAAATAAATTAGTAGGTTATACAACAACAACAAACACCTTTAATATTAAGTTAAGAAATAGTCAGCCAACTATTAGTCATAGTATGAATACAAATAATAACAACAAGAACAACAACAACAACAAGAAAAATATGGATAATAACAAAAGCAACAGCAACAACATGAATAATATAAAACTTTTAAATCCTTTTAATTATTATCAAATAAACAACTATAACAGCAACAGTAACAACAACAACAATAACAATAATAATAAAATGGCTAAAATACGAAGAAATTCCAAAGAAACAACATCGTCGGATCACAGTGATGTTGCCACAAATCCATCAACAACTACAAATGTTACAACAACACAAAAAAGTGAACACAATATCGGCCAGTCTGAAGACAAGCTGTCAGTGTCACTGCATTCGAGTGAAGACTATGAATTGTTGCATGATATGTTAATGCAACAAGATGAAGCTGCCACAAAAACAAAACAAAATCAACAACAAGTTCAATACAATGATGACGATGTTGATGAAGATCAACGTCATCAGTTTAATGATGCTGCCATAGCAGCTGCTGCCGTTGTCATGCAATTAAATCAGCAGCAGCAACAACAACAGCAACAGAATCACAACAATAATAATATTGTTAAAATGAAGCTGACAACATCAACCACAACAAATTATAATGACAACAACAGCAACAACAACCATAACAACAACAACAACAATAATCAATTTGATTTGAAATATAATCATTTTAAACAGGATCATGTGAGCAATGGCAATGCCAACAACAAGAACAACCACAACATGAACAGAAGATATCAGAGCAATAGCAACAATATCAATAACTCACAACAACGTTCTGATATTTCTGCCGCCAATCCAACAACAACCACAACAACGACAAACCATGCAGTTGCTGCCAATAATGACAACAGTGATCAGTATTTAAATATACCACCACCGGAGAAACAACAACAACAGTGCCTTGAATATTTGGGCGACAGTGATACAACAATGCCCACGCACTTGTGCCATCTGCTGACGCCCAGCGATCGTTTGGCACAATTACGTCATCTGCGTTTGCGTAATTGTTGCGAACGTAACGTGTACAGTGCATTGCATACGATGGCATTGAATGCCACCCTCAGCGGCGGTGCTGGATGTTTGCGTGTCCTGCAGGATTTAATGGATTTAGATGCGCTGGCATCGAGAATCACATGTGGTCTAACGGAGATACTTTTTCGTTTCGATTGTCGTCAGGTGTATTCGATTATACATCAGTGTGATGACTGCAAGGTGAGTGAGAAATTTTTAATGTCATATGTATATTTGACACTAAGTAATTAATATTTGTAATAGTTATTGGGATTATCTGGAACTATTGTACTCAAAGCGAATCTTTGAGATATCTATCTTCTATATAGTTATATAAAAATTAATGTATATATTTGGATGGAACTATAGGGTACTTTTTATTTTGATATTTCAAGTAGGCAAAATGCCACGCCCACGTTCAAAGTATTAAAAGTTGTGGGAAACTGCAACAGCTAGAGTTCTCCAATTTTATATGGGCAACTTCGACATCCATATGAACATTTGACGGCAAAATGGTCAGACTAGGTATGGTGGGCACGGCACAGTGTTTTTGAGATAATATATAAGTTAGAGTCCTCAAATTTTGTTGGAGCCACTTAATATCAATATGAATATTTAAGACAAAAACTTGTGAACTAGCAACGAGGGCGTGGCGCTTTCCATATGAATTATTTTTGACGTATTAGCAATAGGAGACGTGTGCGCCTCCACTATATACTATATAATGCAGACTATGGACCAGTTGTTCTCAAAATAATAATCATGATCCATGTTTGTAATACAGAGGACTACACAACAGATCATTGTAGTACATGATGTGATAATGTTTATAGGGAAGTAGTTTTCGGATTACCAAAATTGATCATGTTTTCGAATAATTTTTGCAGCGGTACTATAATAACATTTACATGGGAGTAGTTTTGGGATTACCTAAATCGATCTTGCACTCCAATCATGTTTGCAGGGAAGTCTCAATTTGACCACCATCAAACCATTGCCATATAAATAAACTTTGATATTTATGAATATTTTATCATTTATCGATATTAATAAGAACATCTGGGTGTAGGGTTACATATGGACCAATTCTGATCAAAGAAGATTACGGTTCGTTATTTATATCAAATTTAATATATCTACTCGTATTTTTAAGACAGTAATGAGCGCTAAAGTAATTTTATGATGCGGACCTTATATGGAGGGTAGGGTCATTTATAGACCGATCCCCGCAACATTTGGTAGAGAGATGTTAGCTCAAAACTAGTTTATGTCGAATTTCATAGATCTACTAGTATTTTAAGACATTAATTTCTGAAGTCATTTTCTGGAGGGAACCTTATATGTGGGTAGAGTCAGTTATAGGCCGATCCTCATAAAATTTTGTAGAACGATATTGGTTCATACAAATCATTTTTATGTCGATGGGGATCTTCTATTATGGGTAGGTTCAATTATAGACCGATCCCCACAAAATTTAGTAGAGAGGTTTGGGGTTGTACAAAACTTTGTGTGGAATTTCTCCACCATACAGTTATTTTTAAGCCGGTAATGAGTGTTATAGTATTTGCTACAGCTGACCTTATATGGGGGGTAGGGTCAATTATGGACTGATTCTCTTTACGATTTTGGTACCTATAAAACCTGTTTATGTCGAATTATAATACTTTAGAGTTACAAATGATCATTATAATAATTTTTTGAAGAGATGCTTATATGGAGGGGGGGTTTTTGTTAGGGCCAATTATGGTCCCATGTCCACCATAATTCTGAATTTAATTTCAGGGGACAAAAAATTGTCTGAATCAACGAATTTGTGAATGTTGAATGAATGAAGATTTTTACACAATATTCCGGGGGTACATTTGTATGATATGTGCTATTGTTGACCGATTTTGCCCATTTTCTATACCAAACATTTCTGATCTATAAAGAATATTTTGGGAGAACTTCAAAAACAGACAGACAGACGGACATAACCAGATCGTCTTAGAATTTTACGAGGTCCCAGAATATATTACTTTATGGGGTCTATGATGGTGGGTATAAAAATGTGTTGGATCTTAAACTTGCACTTGTCGTGGCGTCATATATTTCGCTACATATAAACGATTATTAGTCTCCTCGTCTGAGGCTCCATATGCGTATACTAATCTTAAACCCCTCCGTACGCTATGTAGTTTCCTGGCAAGGTCTGAGAAGCTGTGAGCCCAGAGACAGATATCATACTTGTAATCAAGGTTAGAATATCAACCTAACTTCTATCCACTATCTGCTAAAAGGAAATCTCGCAATTCCCGAAAACTGAAACCAAAATTCCAAAAATGGTATTATTTTTACAATTTTTCCCATAGGGTCCACATTTCATTTAAGTCTGGGAAAATACTTTTGCAATAAGAAAGCATTAGATTAAGGTTTCCAAAACATATTCCCGTTTTGTGATTCCAGCTTTGGGATCTTAGAACATGTGGCCCAAAGTTTAAATTTAGTTAAAAACAAGTAAGAAAGTATAGTCGGGCGTGACCGACCATATGATACCCTAAACCAGTTATGAATATTAAATGTGAATTTATTTTTCATAATAAAGCATTTATCTTCAATATTACCTTGTTCCGATACATTTAAGCAATTTATGGATGAAAAACTAATTTTCTGAAAGAGGCTTAATATGGGGGCTAGGAGCAAATATGGACCAAGCCCGATTTTAACCATTTTTAATAGGCTTCATCCTTGGGCCAAAAAAAGCGTGTGTGCCAAATTTCATCCTATTATCTTGAAAATTGCGATCTGTACCTTGCGTACAAGGTTTACATGGACAACCAGCCAGACGGACGGACATAGCTTAATCGACTAAGAAAACGATTCTAAGCCGATTAGTTAACTTGGAGGTGGGTATAGGACGAATATTTTTGTATGTTACAAACATCAGCACAAATCCAATCCAACATATTCGAAAAGATACATACATATGTATATTTTAGAAAAATATAAAAAAGAGTTTTATTTTATTAAAACAGAGTTGAGGCTTTTGTCCAAAAGAAACTAAAAAAACGATTCTATTTTTTTATTTTCAAATAAGAAATCTATTATTTAATATCATGTTTTTTCATGATCTTGCTGAGCACTTCCAGAAAACATAGAAAGTTTTCAAATGGCATTTGTATACAAAATTCACATGTTGCATGTGCCCTGCTTTGAGCTCCCATTAAACCACATCTAGAGCAAGTGTGGGGTCTCGATCTGACCCGCCGTTTAGCAATGCAGGATTTATTTCCCGTAAATTTCGATTCTGCCCCATAGTGCCGTGGTAAGGCATGTATTAGCAATATATTCGTCGCTCTGAAATGTTTTACAGTAGGTAGGTCGATAGGAGGATGTATACTACATCAAATCCGAAGAAATACACCTAGGCCACTATCGGGCCTGTTGTGTGCTCCTTATCAAGAAAAAAAAAACTGAAAGAATTATTTTTCAGTGATCAGAAACTCATTTTCCTGAACGTAATTCCTAAGAATCTTCCAATCAGTGTTAGTCAGGAATGTTATTTCCGGAATAACATCACTTCCAAGATACTTGGATCTAACTTCGACGAATGCCTGGCAGTGGCAAAGAAAGTTTCACTGTCCTCTCCACATGCTCTACATTCGTCTGAATCCGCACATCCAATTTTGTATAGATGTCCTCGTAGTCCTGTGTGTCCACTCAGAATACGTACCATCATACTAATTTCAGACTTGCTCATTTTGAGGAGATTTTTCGTCTTGCTCTCATCAGGGTCACCCCATAGGATCTTCGTGGTTCTACCCACTGTTTCATTATTCCAAGAGGCCTTATGGGATTCTCTCACCCATATATTTAGTTCAGCTTTTGTTGCGTCGAATGGTTTTGCGTTTGTCAGGTTAACTGCCTCGAGCTCGCTTCCCTTTAAAGCAATTACATTCGCCCTTTCCTTACCGACTACTCCCGAGTGGTCTGGTACCCATATGATGTGAACCTTACCTCTGGGAGAGTATTCAGTTAAAGCTTTCTTACAATCCAATACGGTCTTAGATTTAGTTCTATAGCCTGATATCGCCCTCATTGCCTTCTGGCTGTCGGTAAATATATTAAGCGCTGTGGGCGCCATATTTATTCTAATCCAATTTACGCATTCCGTTATTGCTGGTACTTCTGCCTGGAAGCTTGTGTTATGATTTGGTAAACGGTGGTATATTTCTGTTTCTGGGTCTTCAATATAGAAACCCAGCCCCACTTTGTCCCCCAATTTAGAGCCATCCGTGTAACAATGGATTCCTAATGGTATTTGCTCTAATGTTCCGCTTGACCAAGACATTCTATCTGGGATCAGCGTTTCAAAGTTTCCGACATATTCTGTGTCTGGTATACGATCAGGCACGTCCGATGATTGTGTTTAACCTTCCAATGTGTCCGGTATACATTGATGACGTGTCCTATAACCGCTTTTGGCCAGTTCGCCTAAAGTAAAGAGCCGTTTGGCTGTAAGCGCCCCGCCGGTGGAATATCTAGCAACGTTTCCAGAGCCTTGGTTGAAGTAGTACACATGGCACCACTTATACCCAAGCAGCATGTACGCTGAACTCCCTGTAGTAGTTTGATATTGCACTTTTTGTCTAAAGCAGATTATTGAAGCATAAGCTAGAATTGGTCTAATTACACTTTTATAAAGCCAATTTGTCATAGTAGGACTAAGATGTTTTACAGTAACATTCCACATAAAATTTAGCAATTTTAACAAAAATATTTTTAAAAATTAGAAAAACATACATACATATGCACATTATTGTTGAACATTTTTGCTCATTAGTCTTTTAGGTATAGTACTATATAATACTTTTAACATGAAAATACTTCCGTTACGAACTTTTGGCAGCAACAGAATACGCAGCATATTCATTTCTTTTTTCACTTATGTACGTTTGTCTTCAAAGAAAACATTTCCTTAACGTGGTCTTGACACAATTTTCATTTTAATAATATTTTATTAAATTTAATATTAATTTTTCTTCTGCTACAATACAGTTTATTCCTTTCAAACTTTGTTTGCGCCGTTGATGCAACATTTTTTAGTTTTTTTATGTGATTTTCTCTTTTTTTACTTGCAACAAAAGCAGTTTAATTAGCACTTAAGACTGGGAGACAGTTAAAATAAAATTGTAGAAAAGTCTTTTAGATTATTTGGATTT